CGCCCGGAGGCCGGCCCCCCGGTGAGGGGGCTCCAAAATGGGCGCGCGCCGGCGTATCCAAGCGAAGCATCCAGGTACATCGCCCCGCCCGGCCGGGGGGCAGGGGAGCAGTGTCGCGGGCGCGCAGGAGCCCGGGGCTAGATGGTTGGCAGTGCCGCCACGCGCGTGATCTCACATGCCAGTCCTGTGGAAGGGCGTGATCGGCGTTTGCCTGTTGGCCGGCGTTTGCCCGCTCGGCGTCGGTCCGGCGGGGGGTAAGATCGCCGGCGAACATTCCCACGGTGCAAATCTGAGTCCATTCATTTGTTCCTGGCTAGCGGGCATTCTTCCTGGGTTCACTTGTGCGGGCGCTCCGGGGGGGGGAGGTGGCCGGCGAGGTGTGGGGCGCGACAACGGGGGCGGGGGGAGCGCCCGCACTCACACGGGGGGCGGCGCAGGACGGGGTCGTTCGCCGGGCCAAGGTGGGGAAGTCAATCGGAGGCCACCTCACCCGGGGGGGGGGGGGGGGGCCGGGGGGGCCACAAAAAACGCCGCTTTCCCCCAACCACGGGCTTGCCGACCCCACCCCCCGCCTGCCGATACACACCGATGCGCGTGCACACAAGGACGCAGGGGCGCCGGCCTGCTTGCGGTTTGAGGTTGGTTCCAAAAGCAGGGGCGGAAAAAAGACCCCAGCCCAAAATACACGGGGGCCCCTCGCCGGTGAGAAGGGGAGCGCAGCAGGGCCAGATATTCCCGCCTGCCTCCCCCCCCCCCCCCCCCCCTCACAACTCCAGTCACCTTGCCCTCTCGTATGCCGCCCCCCCCCCCCCCGCCCGCTTCGCACTCGCCCTTGTCCTTGCCCTTGCCCGCTGGCCGCGTCGCGCCCTTTTCGTGGGGCATATTCTCGGGTGCTCCGTTTTTTCTCTCTTGCTTTCCTATGTGAGGACGCGAGGATGTAGGTGTATATTTGAGGCGGGCGCATGTGTCCGCCCCTCGCCGCGCTCGGGGGGATTACTGGGGGGGGGGGGAGGGAGCGGCGAGGGATGCACACGGGCGGCCGAGCGAGCTGGGGCGACGCACAGGTCCGGCCCCGCTCGCGGAGGGTGGCAGGAGAGAGGGGGAGGAGGGCAAAAATGGGGACAAGGAAGGGCAAGGGGAGGGGGGGGGGAGATAAGGACACGAGGGAAGAGGAGGGGCGCGGGAGCAGGCTATTGGCCGCCGGCCTGGCGCTCCTGGTCCTTCTTGCTGATGACAGGCTTGTTGTCTTTCCGGAGCATGGTGCGCGCGAGGTTGGACACGCCGGGCACCTCGACGCGGGTGCGAACCGGCGTGACCATCGAGCCGACCATGCACACCACACCCAGGACCAGGATGGTGGCACCCTGCAGGGCGGCGATGATGACCGATCCGATGAAGGTCCAGATGAAAATGACCTGCAGCACAAGCAGGGCGCCGGAGATGATCATGCACTGCCAGGCGTGGTAGCTGTGCGTCGGGCGAGGGGACAAGACCGAGGGTGCGAGGAGCGAGGTGCGAGGCCGGAGGGGGGGGGGGAGGTCAGAGACCGGGCAACGCCGAGGCGGGGGG